GCCTCTTTTTAAAATTTTTCTTATGGTAAAATTTAATATGAAGTCTCTTATCAAAGACAGTATACAATACAATATTATTAGCATAGTCTCCATGCTATACATCAGAACTCCAGAAATTATTTATTAAACATAGTTTCATGTATTACAATTACTAAGTTGCTTCTTTTTTGACTTGCTATGACTTATTAAAATTATATTTCATGAAAAATATAAATATTGACTAATATGAAAAGTGTAAAAATATAGTTTTTATTTCTGCCTTGGGAAGGAAGCCATTGAAACCACCCTATATTCTTGGTTTTACACCCAGTTATTCCACCAAAATGAATATTTTCTTCCCCACAGGTAAAGATAAAAATAAATAGATTTTATATTTGGAATAACAAACAACAAAGAAATATACAGTTGTATTTGTAGCTTAGTGGCTTCCCAGATTGGCTGAGTATCAGGTATAACTTGGAAATCTTATTATAAATACAAGTTCTCAGGCCTCATCTCAGAACTAGTAAAACAAAATATTCAGATTCTAGGGCCCAGAATCCTGCATTTTAATCGACTTTGTTAGAGTAGTTTTAGATTCACAGCAAAATTTAGCAGAAAGTACTGAATTCCCATATACACCTCCCACCCCCACATGCATAGCCTACTCCTCTATCAGTATCTCCCAGCAGAGTGGTACATTTGTACATTCATCACAGTCTATGGGCCAGTACTGACATGCAGTTATCACCACAAATCCAGTTTAAATTATGGTTCACTGTTAGTGTTGTGTGTTCTATGAATTTGATACAAGTACAATTACATATGTATCTTCCATTTTATTATCATGCAGAATAATTCCACTGCTCTAAACAGTCCTCTGTTCTCTGTCTATTCACCTTTCTTTCCCTCCACAAACCTGGAAACCATTGAGTTTTATAATGTCTCTAAAGTTTTGCCTTCTCCAGGCTGTCATATAGTTGGAATCATACAGTATATAGTCTTTTCAAAAATTTTTCCCACCTAGTAATAAGTAAATAATGTAGATGATGGGGTGACGGTTGCAGCAAACCACCATGGCACGTGTATACCTATGTAACAAACCTGCATGTTCTGCACATGTACCTCAGAACTTAAAGTACAATAAAAAAATAAAATACAAAAAAGGGAGAAAATTCAAATAAATGCAATCAGAAAAGAAAAAGAAGGCATTATAATTGGTACCACAGAAATACAAAAGATCATTACAAACAACTGTGAGCAATTCTACACTCACAAACTAGAAACCTAAAGAAAATGAATACGTTCGTGGAAATATAAACTCCCAAGATCGAAACAGAAATAGAAAACCTGAACAGACTAATAACGATTAGTAAAAATGAACAAGTAATACAAAGTCTCCCCAAAAAAGACAAATCCGGAACGAGATGGATTAACAGTCAAATTCTACCAGACATAGAAGGAAGAGTTGGTACCAAAGAGGAAATCAAATTATCAGTTTGCTAGTAAAAATACTAGCAAACTGAATCCAACAGCACATCAAAAAAATTACAGAACACTGAAGTGGGTTTTATTCCACAGATTCAATGATAATGTCTCAACATAAGCAAATCAGTAAGTATGATTCATCACATAAACAGATTTTTAAAACCCCTATGATCATGGCAATAATTGCAGAATAATCAATTGATAAAATTCAGCATGAGTTCATGATAAAAACTCTCAGCAAAGTAGGCATAGAAGGAACATACCTGAAAATGATAAAAGCCATATACGACAAACCTGCAGCCAACATCATATTGAATGGGAAAAAGTTGAAAACATTTTCTGTAAGAACTGAAACAAGACAAGGATGCCTACTTTCACTACTTTTATTTAAAATAGTACTGGAAGTTCTAGTCAGAGCAATCAGGCAAGAGAAAGAAACAAAACAATCAAAATTAGAAAAGAGGAAATCAAACTATCTCTATTTGCTGATGATATGATTGTATACCTAGAAAATCCTGAAGACTCCACCAAAAGACTCCTAGATTTGATAAATACATTCAGTAAAGTTTCAGGATACAAAATCAACATACAAAAATCAGTAGCATTTCTAAATGCCATCAGCTATCTAGCTGAGAACCAAATTAAGAACTCTACCTCATTTACGATAGCTACAGAGAATACATAAGAATTCTTTTAATCAAGGAGGTGAAAGATCTCTACAAGGAAAACTACAAAATGCTGATGAAAGAAAATGTAGATTGTACAAACAAATGGAAAAAAAATCACATAATCATGGATCAAAGAATCAATATTGTTAAAATGACCATACTGCCAAGCAATCTGTGGATTCAATGTAATACTTAACAAATTACCAAAACAATCTTTCACGGAATAAAAAAAATCTAAAATTCTTATGGAAATAAAGAACCTGAATAACCAAAACAATCCTAAATCAAAAGAACAAAGCTGCAGGCATCACATTACTTGACTTGAAATTGTGCTACAAGGCTATAGTAAGCAAAGGAGTGTGCTACTGGTATAAGACATATAGACCAATGAAACAGTAGAGAACCCAGAAATAAAGCCACCTATCTACAGCCAGCTTATCTGTGATGATGTTAACAAAAACATACACTTGGAAAAGGACAGAAACCCTATTAAATAAATGGCCCTGGGAAAATTGGATTGCCATATGCAGAATGAACCTGGACCCCTATCTCTCACCATATACAAAATTTAACTCAAGATTGATTGAAGACTCAAGTGTAAGACCTGAAGCCATAAAAATACTAGAAGAAAAGCTAGGAAAAACTTTTCTGGACATTTGCCTTGGCAAGGAGTTCATGACTAAGACCTCAAAAGCAAGTGCAACAAAAACAAAGATAAATGGGACTTAAACTACGAAGCTTCTGCCCAGCAAAAGAAATAATCAACAGAGTAAACATATAACTTGCAGAAGGGGAGAAAATATTTTCTAATTGTGCATCTAACAAATGACTAATATTCCAAATCTACAAGGAATTCAAACAGCTCAACAACAACAAACAGCAAATAACTATTAAAAAGTAGCAAAGGACATTAATAGACAGTTTTCTAAAGAAGACATACAAATGGCCGACAAGCTTATAAAAATTGCTCAACACCACTAATCATGAGAGAAGTTTAAATTAAAACCACAATGAGATACAAATCAGAAGGGCTATTATTAAAAAGTCAAAAAATAACAGATGTTAGTGATGATGTGGGGAAAAGAGAACGCTTATACACTGTTGGTGGCAATGTAAATTACTAGAACCTCTATGGAAAACTCTGTGGAGATTTCTCAAGGAACTAAAAATTGAACTACTATTTGAGCTGGAAATTCCACTATTGAGTAGCTGCCCATAGGGAAATAAATTATATATATATATACACACACACATACATACACATATATATCTGTATTCATGTGTTTATTACACACACATATATATACATATATATCTGTATTCATATGTTTATTACAGCACTCTTAACAATAGCAAAAATATGGAATCAATCTAAGTGTCTATCACTGGATGACTGGATAAAGAAAATGTGGTCAGTAGACACCATGGAATCGTACTCAGTCATAAAAAAGAATGAAGAGATGTCTTTTGCAGTCACATGGATAATCTAGAGGACATTATCTTAAGTGACGTAACTCAAAAAGTAAAATACTGCATGTTCTCACAAGTAAGAGCTAAATAATGTGCACATATGGACATTTAGAGTGGAATGATAGGCATTGGTGACTGGGAAGCGTAGGAGGGTGGAAGTGGGGTAAGAGAGGAGAAACTATTTAATGAGTATAATGTACTCTATTTGGATGATGGCTATACTAAAAGCCCAGACTTCCACTATGCAATATATCCATGTAACAAAACTTTGCCCCCAAACTCTATTTTTTTTTAAAAAGAGCAGAGAAGAAGTACATATTTATTGGATGTGGGTCCAAACAGGGACAACTTTCTGAGACCAAAACTTCCAAAACAGCTATTCAACTATGTAGTTTGGAAAGTTAGAACTATGACCAATTACCAGGTAATATCGGCAAAAAAATTTTACACAGTTGAAAATTTCTTGTGTTACACATGTCAAATATTGAATCAAAGGAGTTATCACTGGAATTTTTAGATACACTGTTTGATAGGTTTTATGTATGGTTCAATTCAACAACTATCAATAAGTATCTGCTATGTGAAGGGTGTTCTGCTGAGTGTTATGGAAGCTTCAAATAAAATCAAGACTTTTTATTTAGGAAATGTACAGTCTTGTGAAAGCTATAATAATATACACACAGGTATGCACACATATAAAAGCAAAACTGTTATGAACAAAGCAATATGAAAGGAAAATTGTAAGGAGAGAACAAATATCACTTGAGCAATCATAAAATGTTTAATGAGGAAGATATTTAAAGATGAATCTTGAAACATAAGTAGCATTTCCAGGTGAAGTGGGTGTTGAAAGGGAGTCAACAGTAAAGCCCACCATGAAAAAACTGCATGCATTTGAAGAAGTCGTAAGCAGACTGGCATTTTTACACTGCAGAGTATGGGAAAAGAGAAAAAAAGTGAATAAAAATTTAAAGAAAAGCTAAGCCTGAATTGTGGAGGAAATTACCATAGACAGGGTTTGCTGCTTCATTTAGTTGGTGCATGAGAAATAAACATAACAGATGCATTTATTTGTTCATTTAAAAATTTTTCTTAGGCCTGGATAATTTGGAATCTTAATTCAAAGTGAATGATGTGATCATTGAGCAGAAACAGCATAGAAACATTAGTTCAGTTAGTCATCTGTTGGAACCAGGTAACTAAGATAGTGAGAAGCTCAATTAGTATCTTGATGGTAGAAAAGAGATTGCTTAGCAATGATAATCACATTGTGGAGACATTTGAGTTGGATGGCATTCAGTCTCAGGCAACTCTAAAATTGCACGCATGGGTTTGTAACTCCAACTTGTGGTAAATTTTCTAGACTTTGAAATAAGTCTTTAGGAGTAGTACATGTTAAATACGCATTCCCTTGGAACATACAAATTTGAGCACAGCCTTCCGAATCTGCTTTGTTTTCACACTGTAGATGATGGGATTCATCACAGGGGGGATGAGCAAGTATACGTTAGCAATGAGTGTGGGCACATAGGGTGGGGCATGTTTTCCAAATCTGTGAACAAAGGACAGGCTGATCAATGGGACATAGAATATGCCAACAGCGGTGATATGAGAAATGCAGGTGCTGAAGGCCTTCTTTCTCTCCTCTGTGGATGCAATGCTGAGAACTGAGCGAATGATCAGCAGATAGGAAAGCATAATAAAGATGGAGTCCACTCCGGCAGTAGAGATGATTGCAGTTAATCCTAAGGCACTGTTGATCTTTGTGTCTGAACATGAGAGTTTCATTACATCAGGGTGGAAACAGTAGGAGTGGCGGAGCACGTGGCTGCGGCAGAATGACAGTTGCTTAAGAAGTATGATTAGAGGTGTCAAAATGACAGTCCCCCTAGTGATGACTGCCAAACCAATCTGTGCGATTCTTGCATGAGTTAGAATGGTAACATATCTTAAGGGGTTAGAAATGGCTACAAAACGATCAAAGGCCATAGCCAGGAGCACTGACGATTCCATGAAAGTGAAGAGGTGAATGAAGAACATCTGTGATAAACAAGCATTGAAGCTGATCTCCTGAGCACTGACCCACAATATTCCCAGCACTGTCACCAGTGTAGAGATACATAAGCCAATGTCAGTGGTGGACAACATGGAGAGGAAATAGTACATGGGCTCATGGAGGCTTGGCTCAGTGAGGATGACGAAAAGGATCAGGGTATTCCCAGAAAGGGCAGTTAAATAGAGGCAGCAGATGGGGATAGAGATCCAGACATGGGCCCATTCCAGTCCAGGGACTCCCGTCAAGAAGAAAGTAGGAGAAGTGGAATTATGGAATATTGGCATTATGGCCTTTGGGAGCAGAATTCTTTTGTAGGATCTTGACTTCCTAAATTTAAAATTTGAAAATTATTTTAGTTGAAGTTTAATATACATTCCATAAAATGCATAAAACTTCAGAGTACAGCTCAAGGAATTTTGACATCCACATGTAGCTGTGTAACCACGTCCAAGATCAACTGATTGAACATTATCAGGAACCAGAAGTCTCCTTAATGCCACATCCTCATCAGTGCCCTCTCAAATAGTAATCATTATTCTGACTTTTATTACCATAATTATCTCTCCCTATATTTGATTTTTATATAAATAGAATCATGTGTTACATACTGTTTGTATTTAACTTCTTTCATTCAATATTTTGTCTGTGAGATTAATCACTGAACTAAGATATTTAATTTCAATTTATTTAAATACATTTATTTGATATTTACCACTTATTATCTTGTACTCTCATCATTTTAATTAAATTTTTATCCTTCAACTGGATTATGAAAATAAGGGATATTTGGGGCTAATCCATGTTTAGTGGAGTTTCTTGCTCATAATAGATATTCGGTATGCATTTGTCAATTGATTTACCTTTATTTGCTCTTCCTGAAAAATTCTATTTAACTGTGATTAGGCCTTGGTATAGAAAAATAATTGACTAATTGTGATTTGGAATTTTAGAATTATTAACTTAGATACCAAATTTCATTTAATCTATTTAGTAAGCAGGAAAACATCTCTTTTCAGTAACTACATTTACCTAAGAATTCACCCCAGGTAATGCCCATTCATCTTGCCTCATTATCAGTGTCATAGATATAAAAACTTCTGCAGAACTAACAAGAAAACATCCTTAAGGTAATGTAGGTAATAGCATCCCATAGTATTATGGGAAAACAAAGAACATGCTGGACAAAAAGTCAAAATAATAAAGTACTAAAAAAATTAAATTAAAGTACATATTGGACATAATCAAAAACAGAGTCAAGGGACCGTAACAAGGTTAGTTCAATTTGGAGAATGCATTTGAAAAATTCACTCATAATGCACAGAAAAAATACAGTGAAAATAAAATAGTGAGAAAATTGTATTTGGGAAGGTCAAAAAATGAAAAGCCAATATACAGATAACTAGGATCTCAGGTAAAGTAAACAAAAATAAATAGAATAAAAATGACTGTTCCAAAGGAAAGACTCCAGTGCATGGAGGATGAAAGGGCTCATTGTATTCCAGGTAAAATCGGGAAGATGAGAACAAGCATAAAATATTTGACTTAAACATGTTTTTTAAAAATTACAAGGTTTCAGGCAGAAAATATGGATTTCTTTTAAAGAAATGGAAATTAAGCTGGTTTCACCAAAAAATTAAAATATTAAAAAAAGTCCTTTACAAAACATGCCATGGATGATGCAGAAAGAAGATTGAAATATGCGAAAACAAATGGAGATTGCACGTTATTAGAACTTGGAGCTGGGACCCTAACTGGCTGATAAACTTGTAAGTGTGGGTAGTATGCTATGTGAGGGTCAAATTTTTCACTACCACCACAACGGTCTTTGGCCTAGTGAGTAGAGTTTGACAATAATCCTTGCCATAAGCATAATGTTAAAAAAATTACACACACACACACACACACACACACACACACACAACCAAGACACTGATGTCTACAAAACATTGCTGAGAAATATTTTAAAAGATATAAATAAGTGGAGAGACATCATATGTAAATGTATTAGAAGACTCAATAGCATTGGAATGGCTGTTTTCCCTTAATGGATCTATAAATTCAATGTAATATCAACAGATCATTTTTTTTTCTGTAAAAGTTGACACTCATTCTACAATTTATATGGAAATGCAAAAGACTTACAATTTTGGAATAGAAGAAACAATTTGGAGTACTTACACTACCAGGATTCAAAGCTTAACATTAAGTCAGTGCAATTAAGACACATAGCGTAAGGACAGTCATATAGATTAATAGAACAAATTGGAGAGTTCAGATTTAAATACTTACAATATAGCCAATTGATTTGTAACAAAAAATTTAATTTGTCAAGAAAATTAAATGAGAGAAAGGATGGACTTTTCAACAAATGGTGCTCAAAATGGATTACAGACCTTAGTAAGAGCTAAAAATAAAAAATTTCTAGAAAAAAATGTTGGAGATTTTATGACCTTGGATTAGGCAAAACATTATTAGATACCATACTAAAAGTGTGAGTCATTAAATAAAATGATCAATATCAGATTTTAAACAAAAGTGGCACAATTTAAAAGTCACCATTAAGAAAATAAGAATAGAGAAAAAAGACTGGGAGAAAATGTTTGCATAAAAACTCATACAAAAAATATAAAGAACTCTTACAACTCAGTAAAGAGATGAAAAATCCAATTAAAAATGGACAAAATATTTGAATAGGCATCTCACCAAAGCATATTAAAAAATGACTAATAGGCACAAGAAAAGATGAGCATTAGGAAAATAAAATTAAAATTAAGAAATAAAAATTTAAGCTGCAAAAAAAAATCATTATCCACCCACTAGAATGGCTATAAACGAGAGAGAGAGAGGAAAAAAAAAAAAAAAAAAAAAAAAAAAAAAAAAAAAAAAGAGAAAGAGAAAAAGAAAAGGAAGGGAAAGGAAAGGAAAAAAAAGGGAAAATACAAAGTGTTGATAAGCATGTGGAGAAACCGAGCACCTAATACATTGCTTGCGGAAGTGTAAAATGATGCAGCCACTTTGACAAACAGATTTACAGTTTCTTAAAAATTGAAACATAAACTTACCATATGATTCAGAAATTATACTCCTTGGACTCTACCAAGAGAAATGAAAGCATATGTAAACATAATACATGAATACAAATGTTTATAACAACATTATTCATAATAGCCCAGAATTGAAATGGTTGATTAACTGGTGAACAAACTGTGGAATACCCTTAGGCTAAAAAACTATTCAGCAAAAAAGGAAAAAATTACTAATAAGGCTGCATCATGAATGTACCCCAAATATATTATGCTGAGTGAAAGTAGAATATTACATATTGTATGATCAATTTTAATGAAATAACTAGAAAACATTTCAAAAAAAGTAAGTAGGGCAGTGTTTGTCTCTGAGACAGAATTAAAAGCACGGGAAGAGGCACAAGTGAACATTTAGTTACATAACAAAGGTAGACTTTAAAACTGGTAGAAATAAAGTGAGTTATTAAATACAAGAAGTTAGGTAAACTGGTCATCCATTAAAAAAAAACTAAAATAAAGCATATCACTACAATACACACTGAAATAGTTTTCTGATGGTTAAATACGAAAATATCAAAAAGTCACATACATTTTAGAATAAAATACAGGTAAATATTTATATAATCCTGTAGTAGAAAAAAATTTCTAAATATAAAACCAAAGATATAAATTGTAGAGGTAAACATTTGATTTGGCAAAATTCAAATAATTGTTTTATAGCAAAAAAAAAAATTTCCACAAATTTAAAAGGGTAATTATAAATCTGGGGAAATATTTGAAGCATATGTAACATTCAATTAAATAATGTGTTTACTACATAACTTTTATAAAACGACAAAAAATTTGGCAAAAAGAATTAAAAATGGAATTCTCCAAAGCACTAGTAGTTAATACTGGAAAACTTTTCAGTCTCATAGTCAGCCAAAGAAATGCTAATTGAAACAATTGTTATTAACCTCGACAAAGATTAGTAAGGATTGTTAGGCTGCAGGAAAACTGACACACTTATGTTGTAGAGTGTTTAAGAACCTATGCAACAATCTTGCATGTTCTTCACATGTACCCCAAAACCTAAAATGCAATAAAAAAATAAAAAATAAAAAAAAATTAAAAAAAAATTGTCATTTTTCAAGCACTTAAGACCATTTCCTTTCAATCAACAATTTAATTTCTCTGAAGTTGCTAGTAGTATTGACAAAAGCCACTGTTGCTAGTGTGCATGACATGTGTACATATATATAAATTATGTCTTCATCATTTGCTAATTACTTCTTTAAATAATAAATATTGAGTGCCAACTTTGAACACTTAACCCTCAAAATAACCTTTTAGTTTCAAGTAATAAATAATGTTTATAGACAGATTAAAATATTACATATGAGACTGTTCTAATTCCTCAAGTTTAGAAACTGGCTTTATTTCTCATTTGTACTAAAAGAGCTTAGAACAAATTGCTATATTCTATGATTACTAGGAGAGAAACAACATCTATGTTTTTAACTTATTGGCTCCATCAATATTTTCCAGTGTAGTGTTTCTTCATTTAATTCAAGGACAAAAATATCACCAGCTTGTACATGGGTCGTTTCTCATCATCTCTAGAGTGCACAAAAGAGGATGGCTGTCCTGAGTTTGGTCTCAAGGTAGGCCACTGTCTGGGCCTGATACCCTCATTTGCCACCACCCAGTTGGCTTCTCGCTAGTCAACTCTTAATTTCCATTGCTGAAACTCATGGGTGTAATTAGACATGAATTGGAATCTGTGCCTGAAGGTTTTAGAAAAAGATCACAAGGGGCTTATCTTTATCCAGCCCCTAAGCAGTACGGGTACTCAAGATAAAGAGTATTTTATTTAGGCAAAGACAAGACAAAGAGGAATGTGAATTCAGATTTTTTAGAGTATTAGTCATCTCAGGTAAAGACAAATTTGGAGTTAGATCCTGCTTTGGAGAAAAATCACTTATCGTCATATGATTTGTCAAAGCAATTGGCACACTTATTTTGTAGAGTCTCCCCAGAATGACAAAATGACATTTCTGTGATTGAAAATGCCATGGACTAAATTCATTTAATTAATTAATTTAATTTATTTGCCTCTTTATAAAGAAGGATTTGAGATGGATCCTTTATTATATTTTTTTCTGAATTTAGAAACAGCATCTGTGGAATGTTGCAAAGCTAACCAACTACATGGAGGGAGAGCAATGACTGTACCAAGCACATGATGAGCTGAGGTACTGAGATAACCAGCCTCAATGTTT